GTTGGATGGAGCCCTGTACAGTCTGACCTGGTGGGTGGCTGGCACCACTGAGGGTCGGGAGCGCTCAGCCCTCTGGATGCTGAACTGTGTTAGTGTGGAGCTGGGGACACAACAATGGGTCAAGGAACTTGAGGCTGTTTCACAGAAATGTGTGCATTAAGGTTTCCATGGTTTAACTCTCCCATCAGTAAAGTGAAAGCAATTCTTCATCTGCAGCAAAGGACTTATAAATCTCAGTGTTTATGCATGCAGTTTTAGAGAAGCAGAAATTTAAAAAAAAAAATCCTTCTTTTCCATCTGAATGTCTCAGAGCTCTTTTAAACTGTTAATTAATTGAGCAATCATAATGATGTGCCTGTGGGGATGAAGGGGGAGGAATAATTTACAGGTGGGAGAAATGAGGCATGAATGACTTCCAGCCTTACCTGTGCCATGCTGTTAGTCTGTGTCAGATCCAGACAAATACCTTCTGTCCTGTCTCCTTTTGCATCTGTGATAAGTGGCTGGGAACATCAGCTTCCTCCCCCCTTCCTCCTCTTCTGCAGAGAACTCGTTTCCTTACTTGCAATCTGCTGCTTCATTGTACGTGCAAGGAGTCCACGTGGCCCACATCTTCTGGGGAGCAGGCTTGGAAGCTGGGACATTTCTTCAACTCCCAAGTGCCAACCTCTGGGTGGGACAGGGCCAAAGAGCCATTTCTACTGCACAGGAGAAAGGGAGTCAAGAAATGGAGCTCCTGAGCGCTCTTACAACAACCTCCCCTTCTGCTCTGTCTCCCTTCTCCTGACCCTATGTGCAGCTGGATTATAACCTATCATCCTCCCACAGTAATTTGGGTTTTATACTTGCTGCTCTTTCTATCTTTGCTGAGTTTGTGGGAAGGGTGCGGTAAAATGCTGCTTAGGAAAAGGTCCTCCACAGTTTCACCGTCAGTTTGGCTGGGAATCCTGTTTAAATGTAGTTTTTAAACACAGCTGTGAAACTCATGAAGATGTCACATTGGTTGCTCGCACAGCAACCTTTATGTCCCCCTGGGAAGGCAATAAAAACAGCAATAGTGAGCAGTAACAGGCTGCTTTGCCTCATTCTTCTGGCTGCTCCTTGTCATGCTCCCGCAACCTAAGACATGAAGTTCTTCTAGCCAACCTGATTCCAGACTGTATCTCCCTGTCAGTTATTCTTATGTGTAGAGGAAAAGAAAAATACAGATATAATTTGCTGCTCCTTGGAACACCAGGCTTTTTATCTAAATGACAAGGCTTGCAGTTACCTTCAGCCATAGCTTTTTGAAGCATTTTTGCTGGACAGCAGTGATAAACCCTCCGGGAAAAAACAGTGGTAAGTGTTGGCTCATGATATACATTTTGTACTCTTCTTTATAGTAGTGTTTGCTATTCCTTTTTATTTTATGTATCTTGTGAAAAATGTCTTGTAAAGCTCCTGCTCCATATGTGGTGAATTTATGAGACACTATTGATAGACATATTAATATGTCTATTGATTTCTAGCTTTCCTAATTGCATTTTACAGACCCCTACCACATCTGGGACCAGCGCTTGAAAAGTCCTTTTTAGTGCAATGGATTGTCTTCCACAGGTCACTGACACGCTATATTCTGCTTCATCTAAATGAGCCAACCTCCGGTATTCTCTGATCTAATCCCAAAAGTAAAGGGTGTGTTATCTGCAGATGTAATGCTTTCACATGAATTTCCCATTGAGCAGTTCCTGGGAAAGGAGATGAAAGCAGGTAGAGCTTGACCCTGCAGTTCAGCACACATGCTGTCAGGGACTCGGTGCCTGCTAACAGCTGGCTTTTGTGCACCTCGGCAGGTGATGGAGTTCCCACCAGTTCAGGAGCCCACTGCCAATGGTTATCGCATGCTGTTGTGAGAATTCCCATCAGTCAAAAGTGTCTCATAAATAATTTAGAGGAAAGCAATTAGCACACACAGCTGTAGCTGTTTGCAAAGTCACAGTCATACCTGCCAGGGCAATCTGGAAATGGAAATTTCAAAACCATTTTTTTAAGCAGCTAGAATAGGTGAGCTAAGAGCGAGGGTTGGTGGGTAGTTGTTGATGAGTAAGGGATAATTGCACTTTCATGTCTTTTTATGAGTAACGAAATCCAGGATAGAGAATTTTAGACTGATTTGCATATTGGGAAAGGAATCAAAGTGATGCATAGTTTGAAAAACTCCATCAGTCAAGGCCTTGTCCTTTCAGAGGCTCTGCAACTCACTCAGCTTCAGAGGAAAGAGGATAAGTTTTACTAGAGTCTTGAACATGTGTTTTAAAGGCATCATCTGGTTAATGCTAGTTTAGATGTATCGGCTGTCCAGGAAGGATAGGCAGGAGGAAAAGGAAGAAGGTATAGCGTGCATCTCTCATCTGAAATGCTTGCCTTGTCAAATTGATGGGAGTAAATTGTTGAACTTCTGAGTCAGGATAAAAGGGTTACTCTTGAAGAATCCCAAGCAACTACAAAGAATGTGTGACTACAAGGTTTGTTTGAGCAGGTGAGCTGCAGGAAGAGGATATCCACATTAAATCTAGAGATAGCAACAGAGTGAGGAGGAACATGTAAATTTGTGTTTGGATGGGGTTAGAAGTCAAAATCATCATGACAAACTGATCTTTGTAATTCAAAAGGGGCTGGTTGGTAGCAGTCAGAGGAAAACAATAAAAAGCTTTAGAAAACAGAAGTTCCAAAATAAGCTTAGGTTGTTTAGACTGAATAGAAAAGGCCAAAGAATGGTAGAGGTCTTCCACTAGGTAAAAGGTGGCTTCAGGGAGGGTGGGAATAAGTTGTTCTCCAATCTGATTGAACTACGCTAAAGTTAAAGCAGGGGAGATTTATACATTGGTAAAATCTTTCCAATAGAAAGGCTAAGTAGCTCCTGAAGTAGTCTGCCAATGCAGTCTGGGGAATCTCCACTGTTAGGTGGTCAGGAATCTTGTAGGTGTTACTGATCCCACTCTGAGACAAGGAGATGAACCAAAGAACACTGCAAGCTCTGCTGATAGCTGTATATTGTCATGTCTTTTCTAGTTGAGGGCCCAGAACATTTTTATTTTTACAGGATCCTGACCTTGGGTAGGGAATTATTATTCCAATTTTACAAAATGGGAACTACGTCACAGGATGTTGCCAAACGAGGATGTCCCAGTTCCAGACTCTGAGGTTCCTTCCTCTTCCTAATAGGAACTTTGGCATTGAGATTCCTTCCTCTTCCTAGGAGGAAGTTTGGCAGTGTGTTGTTAAAAATGCATTCAACTGCTTTTTGTTCATTTCATGAATGCTGCAGAACAGTTCAACCCATGCTCAAAGACCAGCTGAATTACAAAAGTTGGAGTTACAATTTCTAGCAGTGGCACATAGAGAACATTATTTTTCTCTGTGCTTCCCCTGTGCAAAGGTATGCCATAATTCCTGCTGTTTCCTGCATCTCCTCAATCAGGATGCCAAGAAACTGGTATAGAAGCCTGAGGATCTGATTGCAGCTTCCCAGTGATCATGGCCTCCAGTGAAGACTTTCACTGGTGTGGCTCAGACAGTCGCCAGAATCTGTTCACAAACTACGAGCTGGACAAAGAGCCCTGCAGTCAACCCAAAGGCTGCTCCTACAGCTTTTCTCCTCGGCGTTTCAGAGGGAAATAAAACCTCCTGTAAGTGATATTAATTGCAATCTACCTGTAAATCCCATACAGCAGATTCTGTTAGACTGCAGTGAGAACTTTCTCCAGCATATTATTGAGAACATTGTGGCTGTGCACATATCTGAACTACACGATGAGCAGCCATCTCGTCTTTTGTTAAGATACTCAAGTCTTTCATTTTCTTATTTATTTGGTTTACTTATACTAATTAAGTTTTCTGGAACAGCAGATGGATAATTATTCACCTGCCAGAATTACAGTAACTTCAAAAATGTTTACCAAGCAGATATTCAGTCCCCAGGTCACTGGGGTATTTGGATTTTGTCTTCTTATTTGTTAATCCAACTTCATTCCAATTTAACATCAACTAGCTGTGATCGGTGTTTGCCTCTTCTTAAGACAATCTTGACCAAATTAAAACATTTTAAAAGATTCTGGATTGCATTATGTGACGGATCACAACAAAGTGTCCGAGAAATGTGAGTCACTTTTAAATAAATTACTAGTTTTAGGTAACTGCTTAGCTAAATGAACATCTTTCTGACCTGTCCAGAGATGAGCAGTGAGTGCTAAAGTTAGATCACTATCAGTGGAAGTCCCCAGGAATGTTTATGGTTACCCTTTTTGAGCCCTGATCTTTGTAACATTATTCCAGGTATGGACTGGCAGTACTGCAGTGCAGAAATGTCAGAAACAACTCAAAATCCCAACTAGGTCAAATAAGAATGAGTCAAGATTCTGTCTGGAACAATACACATAGTGTTTTCTTAAGGCAAGAAGATATTTACTGTGCAGGAGAGAAATGAACCTGTGCCCTTGGAAGGGGCTTGTCTGGCTACAAGGCTCAGCTGGGCTCGGCCAGCAGCTGTGCTCAGTGTGAGGGTTAGACATCATCCTTCTGGATCCAGAGGTCTCCACCTGCAGTCTCTCATCACATCCCCCTCTGGGAGCTGTTGCATTAGGGGTCTCTCCATTGTCTTTTACGATATGTTAGTCAAGGAAAAAACTGTTCTTCACTTATTAATTTCTCTCAACTTCTTGGAGCTGCCTGGGTCCATCTAGTGAATGGAGAAATAACTACTTCTCCAGCTACAGACTCCTCTTTAAACTAGATAGGATACCTTGCCACTGGCGGGGTATGTACTTTACAGTTCACTTCAGAAGTCCGGGCAGCAAGCTTGTACTGGATGTGTCCTTCCTACATTGCCAGTTTTGGTCAGTCCCACAACAAATTTCAGTAGGATCTCTGATGTTTCTTGATGTAACTCCAGAAATACTGCACAGGTTTTGTTTTGGTCAAGTTTTCGTGTTTCTATGTATGTTCAAAGATACAATGGAGTCCTTTAAAGAACACAGTTTTCCGTTTCAATGCATTAGCAACAATCTATGCACTTAAACTTTTAACATTTATCAGTTTGAAGTTCAAGTGTTTACAGTCATTAATAATGGGCCAGCCACAATGGATACCTTTCAAATGCCAGCAGCTGATGCTTCAAGCTAATAAGGTTGGTTACTCACCTGGGGCTCAGCCCTGCACAGGAATTTCTCATTTGACATTAGCAGTGTGTGAGAATTTACATTTGTTTTGAAGGTACTCATTATACAGAAGGCTTTTCCGTTAAGAGATTTAGCTCCTTTGCAGTGAGATGTGGCTTTTTCTGTAACTTCTCCAGGGACTGGAAGGGATAAGAGGTTGTTCCTGAACACTTTTCCATCCCTCCATGTGGTCAGAATGCTGTCTGCCTGGGTTTGAAAACAGTTGAAGGATACATATGAACTGATGTCTCTGAAGCAGGGAGGATACCAAGTACTGCTCTTCTGCTGTATCTTTTGAAATTCCCAGATCAAACCATGCCCGTCTCTGTGACACAAAGGTTCCCAAACTGGAGCAGCCCTTACTTTGGGCTGAAGTATTTCCCCTTTCACTTGTGACTCCAACTCAGAAAACAGAATAATGTCTCAATAACAAATTCGTCATCTCAAATACTTTCTGTAAGCACCAAGTCTCCTACTAAATTGCCTGCATTTTCTTTCCTTAGAGTAATTTCTGAGTAGAGATAAGTCAGCTATTTTGTTTGTCAGTACTAATTTGAAATGGCAAAGTTCATTATGTTTCAAAAGCCTCAGTTAGAACAGACTGGCTCCAGATGACATTGCGTCAATGTCTTGCTGGTACACTGGGAAAGACTGATATCCTTGCAGATTTCCATTTGAACTCCCTATTTCATCTTATTCTCTCCTAGTTGTTTAAAATTCTTTCAGGCTAAGAAAAATGTATAAACACCATTCCCTTCCGCTGACCTGAAAATATGTAGAAATGCCTCTATAGCATTCTCCTTTCTCTTTGAAGATGATCTCAGTTTCTCCAGCCTCTCCCGATAATGAAGATTTTCACTGATGGAAAGATCCTTATTTCTTTTCTACACTGCATGTTCTTCACGGGCAATTCCAGCGCTGCAATGACTGTCGCTATATGCTGCTATACAAAGAGCTTGGCAATTACAATAACAGTCCCATTTGGGAAGGTGATTATCGAGTCTCTGCTGCAGGAGGTTTTTGCCTCTTCTTCTTTCAGCTCTTAACAAATGCAGTGACAGCTTTGTCTTGCTCCTTGTTTATTCCTTATTCCATTTCACTCTTTTGTTCCCTATGAGACAACTGCTCACAGTCCGATGTAAGTGAAAGGCAACACGGCATCAAAAGGAAGTCCCACGTTTGGCTGCTAAGCAAAAGACAGAATGTACTGGTAGGATGCTGTGCATCAGCTTCCACATCCTGCCCTCCGTGTGTCACTGTTAGAGAGAACACAACCAACATGTTTCAGTGAAGAATATTGACAGGTGGCTGGAAGAGACCACATTTATTCTTTCTGTAAAACAATTTGCACTGGTGTAATTTCTGCATTTTAAAGGGTGGTTGGATTTCTGCCTTACCCCTCCAGCCTTGACCGTTTCTACCTCCTCCTGCCCCAGTGGCCCCTGTGCAGCTCCAGAGGAAAACTTTTTGAGTATTGCTGCTTTTTTCCCCCCTTTCTTTCCTTCTTTCCTTCTTTTCTTCTTTCTTTTTCTTTCCATGTAGATCAAGCATTCATTTGCTAGTGAGCTTCACAGTCAGTAGTATTGGCATACCCTGAGGGAAGGCGGAGGAGAGCAGAGAAACAGGAGTGAAAAAGAGTGACTGGAGGCAAGAAATTTCCCCAGCTGGTTCCCTTGCCTAACTAAACATGTGGAAGTGTACATGGAACCAGCTTTTAATTAGCTGGCTGAGCAGCAGCCCTGGTGAGCTGCAGAGCAGTGTAGACACCTGCCTGTTTTCTGTTTCACAAGTGGGTTTTGCCTGGTGCCATGACAACACTGCCCATGGTACCTGGAATAGCAAGTTTAAATAGAGTTTGTACACGGACACAGTGAGCTCTGGTCTGTGCAGTGCAGACATACAGCAAGATACATATTCAGAAGTATTCACATCCAAAGCTAAACACTGTTAAGGGCACCTTCCTTTCACTGCAGTCCCTTTTACAGTTCAGTATGGGGCCTTTTGACTTCAATCGGCTCGCTTTCAAAACATACCTGCAGGGCAGGGAAGCAGCCCTGTCTGTGTCCTGCAGAGTGAGATCTGAGAAGCACCAGGTGTGGGAACTCATTCCCTCTGTGAGCAGCAAGAAATGTTTGCATCTCAGCTGCTCCCACCTGTTTGAGGGCAGCCATCAGTGGCACAGCTGAGCTCCCAGGCTGTGGCTTGACATCCCTCAGCACAATGCTGAGCATCTTCACTTCAGCCACTGGCAGAAGAGGCCCAGGCTATTCTGACTTGCATGCTAAGTGGACTGGGAACAGAAATCTTTTCTGCTCTGCAATCTGGAAAAGGATTTTGGAGGGAAGGACAGTTGGTGAAACCCTTATCAGTGTTATAACTCTGAAAGTATGGATATTTACAATTTAATTGAGTAAATGTGCAAGCAGGAGTGGTTTTGTACATTAAAAGTTGACCATATTTGTATAATTGGGTTATGATCATAGAGCTGGAAAACTCACTCTGCAGTGATGGAAATAGAGATCCCCATCCAAACCCACACCTCTGCCTGAAGTTCCCTAGAATGAATTGTGCAGGACACAGAGCACACTGAGATTTATGCCAGCTATGACGAGCCTGCTCTGAAAAGTGTTTGTTTTGTTTTCACTTTTTGTTTTTAAACAAGGTCACTGGAGAACCAATGCACAGTTTGCTGCATGTGTTTGTTACATGGCGAGCCCTTGAGCTAACCAGGATGCAGTGAGATGAGCAGCTGGAAATTTCACAACCTCTTCAGTGAGGTTTGCAGCTATTGAACAACAACATAGGATCACAGCTGAAGCCCTCTTGCTGTTTCAGAACTGCTTTGTAATACAGTAAGCCAGTGCAGTACATGACTGTAGTGATATAAGGCTTAATCTGTATCAAGTCTGTTGAATTGAAAGTGTAAGCAGTGCTTTTGTTAACTGAAGATACAAGTCAGCACTTAAATTTTAGGATTCACCTCTGAGATACGATCTTTTTTTTATCAAGAGCTGCTGTGCACTCATCCTTGGCACACAGGACAGCTGAGCAGGGCAGCACAGGGCAGAACTGCTCTGACCACTCCAGGTTCTCTGCCTCAGCTGGGCAGGGCTGGACTGTGTTGTGCTGGGAGAATGCTTCCTCACAGAGCACTCGGGGGTATTTCTGGTGCAGTATTACTTCCTTCACACCCCTTATGTTGCCCTGTTCTCAGATCAACCTCATGAAACTTCAGCCTTGCTGAGTATGGCCCAAAGAGTAGCCAACACTCCGTTGTCCACAGCTGCATTCAGCTTAGAGTTCGCTTGGTGTATCTTTTTAAAAGCTTTTTTGCTTCATTGCAATTTAAAACAATCCTTCCAATGTCTTTAGTGGCAAGTATGTGCTGAGATGTATGGATGTTTCTGCCAGTGCAGGCTTTCCATCACAACTCGAAGCTATGGAATGTGCTTTGGAGTAGTCCTTAATTTTATTTCTATTCAGACAGAGAAAAGTAGGCAGTGTCAACAAAGAAAAAAAACCAATTCCTTCTTAAGCCCCACCAGTTTAATAATCTTTTGCTGAGTTTCCTGATGTGGCTGTTTGCGTTCTTTGGTGAATTCAGACCGACTGTGAGCAGCCTCCAAATAAAACATAGTCATACGAAGATTTACCTTGGCTGTACTGGTGCTTGGCTGCACGAGACATGGAGCAGCCAACTGGTTCAGCTCAAGCTGCATGTCCTCTTCCAGCAACTGCTTCCCATCGAGCGCACCGCTGCCCGAATTAGCAGGGCTGTTGCTTCAGCTCACGATTTAGTTCTGGTGTTTGTGTCGATGATCAATGAAGTCAGGAAGCTGCATTTACAGAGTGTTCAAAAGCCCTTTTATTCTGCAAGAATCAAATCCAGGCTTCCGTTAAATGCAGTAAAGTCTCCCATCATTAAAACACTGAGGCTGCAAGTTTGGCCACAAAAATGTTACAGCCATGCAGTTGGTATTCAGTCCTTTCTGCCTGCATTGCCAAGTCTGGCTTTTACTTATTTATTAAATTTTACACGTCTCATGTCTTTCGTGCATTCCATAAAGCCTCCGTGCTTACAGGCATCTTATTCACCCGCAAATTTCAGCTTGCAGTTGTTAAGGCCCTGCTACCAGCCCTCTGGACAGAGGAAGCATAAATGTGCAATAAGGCCGATCCTCACAGGCAAAGCCAAAGGCTCGTAAAAACCCACATTTCAAAAGTCAAATCGTGATTTTTTAAGAGGATCTCATGAACTCGGGCTCCCATTTATGCGTCCCAAGTGCCCGGAGCAGACAGCAGCGACGACCGCCTGGGCCAGGCTGTGCTTAGAGCAGAGAGCGCTGCGATGGCACAGGGAGGAGCCCGCCTTCCAGTTACCGCGCTCTGCTGTCGCAGCCCGGGCCCTGCGCCACGCGCCCCATCCACTGCGTGCAGGACTCGTCCTGCTGCCCTGGGAGCGCTCGGCCCCTCTCGGCGTGCACAAGAGCCCATGGCTGCTTAGCAAAGCACGTGTTTAACGAGAGCGCTGGCCTGGACGTTTCTCCAACAAACAAATGAAAGCCAGCGGCTCTGTGTGGCACTGATAGCTCTGCGTTACTGCATCGTCTTTTGTTATTTCCTTGTCACGGCGTTTCACAACGGCGCGATCACCGAGCGCTTCCCCTGGTGCCAAGCTAGAGCAAAACCGACACATCGCGGCCGCTTCCCAACCTTTCTGCTTCGCCGCCCTTTTTTTTTATTTGGAGAAATTCCCCGCAACGAAGGGAAGCGCGATCCCCCAACCCCTCCCCCGCTCCCAAGGCTCGGCCGCAGGCACAGCCCGTTCCGTCCCTCAGCAGAGGGCGTGCAGGACGTGGCGGCAGGCCGGCCGGCGGCACGCAGCCCGAGCCCCGTGCGGCCCCGCTCGGCCCGGCGCAGGCGCGCTGCCGGTTCCGCTCGCGCCCCCCGCCCCGTCGCAGTTCTGACGCGGCAGCGCCGGCGCGGCGCGCCTGGGCCCAGCGTGTGGCGGCGGCGGCGGCGGAGGAGGCCGGGAGCGGCCGAGGTGAGGCGGAGGGCGGCCGTCCGGGCGCTGCCCCTCGCGTTCCGCCCGCTGCGGGCTGGGGGCGGCGGGGCGGCGGGGTTTCTCGATCGCCGCGCGTTCGTTTGTTCCGCCCCGCGGCTCTCGGCCCTCCTGCCGCCCCCGGGGCTGCGATCTCCGCTCGGCCCCGTCCCGTCCCGGCCGGCTCTCCCTGCCTGTGCTGCCGTGCGGGGAGAGCCGCGTTTGTGCCCTGAGCGGCGGGCCTCGAGCCGCTTCTGCTTGCAGGGTGTTTGGAGGCCGGGCGCAGCGCGAGGGGCGCTTCGTAAAGTCAGTCTGAGCACTGGAAGCTGAAGGGCGCTTATGGCCTCGTGCCCACGGCACTCAAGCAGCTCGGTCTTCTTAATCTCGGCTTTTTCATCACTTCCATCACTCTGACTTTTGGTAGCATTTCTCATTCGCGCTGTTTAATCTGATGCACTGATCTAGTTTTGCCTAAAGGAGGCTGTTGCCATAGGCAAGTCATTAAAAAAGTGCCAGCGATGAATTGAACAGACGTGCAGCCTGCTGGGTGAGATCAGGGCTGGTTCCTGACTGCAGGAGCAGGGAAGAGGCCCAGCCGAGAGCCTGAAGTTGCTGGTGTGTGCTGTGATAACCCATGTCAGTGTGGACTTTGGCAGTTTCTGCACGGCCTGGTGTTAATGTGTTGTCAGAATGTATTTCCCCGCAGTTTGTTTCACCTCGGGACAGAGCTGGGTGTTTGTTTGGTGAACGGCTCCCAGAAATGTGCTGAGTGGGTCAGAAAAGAGAGTGGAGGCAGTTCCCAGTGCTTGGGCCTTCTGCGTTACTTCTGCGTATGGCAGCTGGGTTGTTTCAGACCTCCTGACCTTATCAGGTTAGTTATGGCCGTGCCGTGGTTTCGAGACAGACACCAGCCCGACTTCCTCTTTCCCTTTCTGATTTTGGACTCTGGTGTCAGTGTGCAGGGCCCATCCCAGCCCTGTGCCCTGCCTGCTGGCTGAGGCCTGATGGGAACGGCTGGGCTCATTGCCTGTGCACAGGAGCTGCTGCCTCCCACGGGGGTAGGTGATGTGTGTATTGCTGGTGTCCATGGAAAGCAACACACCTGAGGCTGTTTGTGTTGGTTACCTTACCGATGCTCTTCAATACAAGTGTCGTCTACGTTTTTAATAGCAACACCAAAACCTGTGCAGTCTGGGATGCTAGGAGTTAGCAAGCAGCTGTAACTGTGTCTGTCTGGAGGTGCTGACTGCCCAGCTGGGCCCAGCACAGTAGTGGTGGGGTGTGAGGTAGCCGTGCTGCTGTGGAGTCCTGGCAGCACTGGGTGTGCTCAGGGAGTGGATAGAAGGTGCCCATGCTCAGGTGCTTTGGGTATCAGAAGCCTTTGGCAGTGTATTGTCAGCAGTGTTGCCTTTTCTGTTTGTGTGTTTTAGATCTCTAAAGCTGGTAAAAATACGTGGGACTGCCAAAGGTGAAGTAGGAGTAGAACCATAGCAGGTTTAAAACTGATGAAAGAAGTGAATACATTATATTTTTTCCAATATATGATTTCACTTGAAACTGCAACCATGTATGCTTTCAGGTAAGCTACAACTACAGGAATTGCAAGCAGAGTGCTGTCAGTTGCTCTTCTGAAGTCGCATGTGTACCTGCACTGTGTTCATTGCTGACTGCAGGGTCAGGGGCTTTCCATTCTGATCTGCGCAGGCGCTCAGTTTTAGGCTGGTTTTATGTCATGTTGACCTGTTGGTGAGTTACAAAAGCTCTTGAGATAATTCTCTGTTTTGGAAATGGAAGTGGTGAGCAGCTCCCAGAGAATACTTTTGTCCAAAGCAAATTGGTAACCAGAGTCCACTATTGGTACAAAGTTGAAATGTTCAGGGCTGTCTTTGTCCAGTGCAAAAGAGATTGTGCCTTTTAATATTGGATTGTTGGCAGGTGGCATGTCAAACACAGCTGGAATGGTGAGGACTAATGATGGTAAATTTCTTTCAGGTGTGATCTGTGGAAGGTATTCAACTGAGGCTTTTCCTAAGATCTTGCTGGC